ATGAATGAAAGAATACAAGGATGAATGAGAATAGAATTTAGAGTCTAAATAACTCGGCCATGAGCCCCAGCTTCTTTCATTAGCTGTGTGACTTTGTATAAATTTGTTAAACCTCCTAGGCTTCAGTTTCCTTATCTGAAAAATTAAGAAGTTAACATTCATCTCTCGATGAAATAAGGAGCAAGAATATAATACTGTCAATGCTAAAAAGGGCCATACAAATGCTAGTTTAAAAAATAACTAAAAAGCATTCTCTACCGCCTCTTCCTGCCCATAATCATTTCTAGAAAGAAAATTATCTCAGTCTTAACGCAACAGTAATTCTTGTCTTATTTAAACCTGCATTTACTTTGATAAACTTCATCCAGGAACCTGGATCTCAGCCACCTTTTGATAAGAAAGTAAGAAAAAGATCGGGCCAGGTCCTGTTCCTGAGGGTGGTGCTGGTTTGCTGAGCTCTGTTCTTGGATGCTGATGCTGTGAAGCTATGGGTGTCCTCTGTTTTTTTTTTTTTTTGCTGGATTCCTCCCTATTCTCAAAGCACCCTTTCAGGCACCCTGGAGTCCCTGCATCTTAAGCTTTCACGGCCTCTGCTGGCCCTGATCCCTTGTCCCTCAGGACTCAGCTCAAGTACCACCTCCTGCAGGAAACCACGTGGTAAGTCCAGCTCAGTGGAACCTGTGTCCTTGTTGATATGAGCACCACTGAGTAGCAAAGTTCGTGAGAGGACAGATGCGCTGCTTAGCAACTCTTTTGAACTTCAGGTTACTCATCTGTGGGACCTTTGGCAAGTCATTTATCTCAGGATTTGTGAGCTATATATGCTCAGAGGATAACATGTGTTGATTTGTGTAAGGCACTTAAACCATGCCTGGCAGATAGTACCATAGTAACGTTAGCAATTGGCTAACACAGGAATGTTCTAGGGGCAAAGCAAGTGGTCTTTTTATAGATTAAGTCTAGCCTTCTCATGCAGGATTGTATAGAGTTCTTGTGTAACCCTATTACTCTGCTCCTTTCTGTTTCTCTCTCCACGTTTGCCTGCCTCATTGCAGTGCTATTCACTTTGCTTTGGATTCTCTCCCTTACTTTCTTAGAAGAGGAAAAGTTCCTATTAGTTATTCCCTCTTCTGGATTGATTGCAAGCAATGGATGGCTAGAACACTGATTCCTGGGTCATGGTCCGGCCCCCTACCACCTGGTACTCCTGGGGAGTATATGCACCGTGGATATGGTGGGCAAACACACCTTTTTATTACCTTTGGCCCCAACCAACCCCCAACGTTAAGCCCTAACCCTGGAGCTTCGCCCTGGTTCCTTTCCCCTTCTGGTTCCTTCTGGTTCTTGCTTAGTACTCTTAAGGAGAGAGGGGTGGGGAAGGGGAGAAAATGCACCTCCTTGCCAATGGGAAGAAGCCCAAGCCCCCACCTTACCTTGAGTGTCTGAGAGAGAAGAAACAGACAGGAGCCATCCCCAGCCTGGGACCTACCTTTAACCCCGTTCTTTCACAGGCTGAGGTCTCACCCCCAGGATGGTGGCTTAGTTCAGTATTCACGAATCTGACCAGTCCACGCACCCTTCCTTCTTATAAGGGGAGGAAAGTCGGGGACAGCTACAAACTTCCTTCCAACACTGTCGTCCTGCTTACCCTTTATGATGAAGCTAAATGTTCTCTCTTCTAGGCGTTTTCTTGACTCCTCCATCCACCAGCTGTCTCGTACACTCCCAGCAATACACTTGACTGAAACACTTTGATGCTTTATTGTAACGACCAGCTGCTAGACTGAGAGCAACTCCAGGGCCTAGGACCTGTTCTGTTAACACAGGATGTGCTTTAAAATCTTTGTTGAGTAATTTGCATGGGAAATATTCATCTAGGCACACTTTCTAAACACATTAATGACATCTGAGTATACTGAACTTGGCAAGGGATCAAGGGCTTCATCCCATTACCACTGTGAGTGGTCGAGAGGGAGATGAATCAGACTTAGCCCTGGTCCTCAAGAGCTCACTATCTCTTGGGGGAGCCAGATACTAAATAACTATAAAGTGAGGTGATGTGTACAAAACACAGAGGGAACTTGGAGGAGGAACCTGAGTGAGCCAGGGAAGACTTCACATTAGAAGTGCATTGTATCAGTTACCTACTGCTGTGTAGCAAACCATCTCAAAACTTAATGGCTTAAAACAACCAGCATTTATTATTTTTCAAGATTCTGTGGGTTGCCTGGAGGTTCTTGTGCCAGACTCACCTGGGCTCTCTCATGTGGCTCTGTTCAGCTACGTGTAAGCTGGGAGCTGGGCTCAACTCTGGCGGCTGGGCTCACTCTCGTGGACTCTTTCATCCTGGGCTGCTTCAGGGCATGTGGGTCTCAGGATTCCAAGATGGTGACGGTGGAGACTACGAGCCTTCTTGAGGCCTGGGCTTCAGAACTTGCAACATGTCACTTCCACCACATTCTGTTGATCGAAGCAAGTCACAAGACCAATCCAGATACAAAGGATGAAGAGTAGTTCCAAAAATTTGTGGCCATATTTAACCTACCACATGGATTTTGAGGTGGTAAGGCGTTTGTCCAGCAGGTAAAGAGCCGTGTAAAGAGGGACAGGACACTCTGGCAGAGGTGGGAATAAATAGGTCGTGTCTGGTGAACATGCCAGGTTTAATGTAGGTAGAGGGTAAATATTGGGAGTTGAAGGTGCAAAGATAAATTAGAGGTTCCTAGGAAGGGCCTTGAATGCCATACCTGGAGTTTTAAGTTGATCCTTTGGAAGTTTTGACAAGTTTGCATCTCTTTTCAAGAGTTCATTATAGCAGTCCATTTGTGGTATAGATGTTGGAGGGCCAGAGTAGAGGAAGGGAACCCAGATCAGGGGATAGAGTGATCCATGAGAGAGGTGTGAGGCCCAGGCCTGAACTGGGCAGGAATGGTGTCCTCAGAGCTTGGTGACTTAACTACATATTCTGTGAGAATGTCCCCCCCTCCAACTCCCCAGGCTCCTTGTCCTCCTTGCTAATTCAGAGGGGCTTGGTAGGGGTGAGCGGGATGTCTGGATGAGAAGAGTGAGGATAACTATGAGGTGGAAGTGAGTGGTGGGAAGAAGTGGGAAAGAAGGGGAAGGAGCTTGCAAGTAGGTTTTGGGTGGGGATGGTGAGATGTATCTGGAGGACTAGGGACCGCCAGTCCTACTGGCAACTTCATGGTGGCTGAAGGACTGAAAGAGGATGAAAGCACCAATTTAGCCTGGGGTAAATGAAGGCAAGGGCACAGCCCCAGGGAGGGGCCTGACCATATTCCTCCTCAGACAGAGCAACTCCTGTCCCCACTCAGGGCCGAGAGTCCACGGTCTGTCGCAGAGCAGACATCCATCCGGGTTAGCCCAATGACTTCATTTTGTTAACTTATTTTCTTCAAGCTCCCTAAAAACTCATCTTTTCTTCTTGGCAGAAATGTCTTTTGAGCAGTTTGGGGATGAACTGAAGTGGGGAGAAAGTTAAATGGGGGTAAATTTATTGGATTAAAATGAACAGACTTTAGTATAGGCAGTGATGACCCTCTAGGAAGGTTCTGGAGTAGCCAGGGAGGAACTTAGATGTATGTGCTGAATGTGTGTGGCAGGGTGGTTTCAGGAAGGTGTGTTGTTCAGAGGTAGAATGAAAGTAATCCCAACTCCTTTTCAGCCCTCACCTTTACAATGGGCAGGTGTTTTAATCTAGTGTGAAAGGTTTAGGTTCCAGTGCTTGTGCTGCTACACCTTATTCAGAAAACCTGGAGTGGGATAAGGCAGAGGAACCCGTTCCCACCTCCAAGGCAAACAGGTGCTGTGGGCACATGTCAGCACCTGATAACCAGACGGGAAGGCAAGTTGGTTGGTCCCTTGTTCGATGGAAGAGGGATCCAGAAGAGGGGGTGAGTCCTCAGGATTTTGTCCAGAAGTTTTGAGGTACCCCTGGCAGGCCCAGGCCAGGCACTCTTACAGGAAGGAGCCTATTCAGAAAACACCATGATGCTACATACTACACCATGGTGCTAACCCTTAAGACAATCCTACATCTTACAGATGTAGAATCCAGCATTTACTATTAAGTGACTTGGACACAATCACATAGCTTTTCAGTGGAGGATCAGGATCCCAAGCCAGGCTGACAACAGGACAGGAAGTATGTAACAGCTACTTCCCGACAGTAATTAGTCAGCCAGGACTAATGCCAGTGGGCTCCAACTCCGAGCCTGCTGCCTCCATGCAGTGTTGGGTCGGGTCACTCCCTCCACCCCTTGCCATGTGAAGGACCACGTCACTAGCCCTGCCACAGCCACAGCTGAACCCAGCCCATCGCTGGCATCATCCACAGACTGTGAGGAACTAGAACTCAGGCCCTTACCCCAGCTTCCTTTTCAGGTGACTGATGATTCTCTTTGGTTGGAGGTGTCCTTGTCCTCCAAAATTCCTCTACCTAATCCTTAAATAATTTGGTTTCTAGGACTCAGTCTGAGACCCTCTTCTTCCATGACTCATCCACTCCCATAGATTCAAATACCATGTATGCTTTTGATTTTCAGATTTCTATCTTCAGCTCAGATCTCTCAGCTGAGCTCCAGATTCATTATTTTTTTTTAAAAAACTATCCTGAAGCTTTCCACCAGGATATATATATATCTCACATGAACTCCAAACTCAACAAATTCTAAACTTATTTTAATGATAACTCACCCAAATCTGCTTCTTTCTATATAACTCATATATCTGATTTTCCACCTCCAGTGCCTCTCTGTCCACCGTTATCTCCCACTCAGACTACTGCCTTCCCCTCCTGCCTGGTATCCCTACATCCACATTGGCTCCCTTTAGTCCTTTCTCCACCCTTTCAAGAGCTTTCCAAATTCAAATTCTTTACATGGCTTTCAAAGCCCTTTGTGACTTAATTCCTGTTCATCTCTCCACTCACCTCTTGCTCTCTCTGCAATAACCAGCCTTTTTCCTTTCCTAATTCCTCTCATCCTTCAGTTCTTAACATAATGTTCATCTTCAGGGAAGTCTTCCCTTCTCCAGTCCCCTAGGGCACACTCATAGAGCTCCCTACACCCTTCCTCCATGACACCCATCTCAATATAACTGGCACAATTATTTGTTAGACACTAGATAGCAGGGGCCAAATGGCAGGGTGTCTGTCTTGTTCTCCACTGTACTCCTAGCTCCTAATATGACAACTTTCCAGTTTGTTGAATGGATGGCACAGTGCCATATGGCACATAATAGGGCTCAAGAAATGAATTTTCTCTTTTTCACACTTTCTCCACATTTTCCTTAGAGAATCAATTCCTATTTTGGGACTAGGCTACCGAATGAGGAAGTTCCTGATTTCTTTCTCACCCAGGTAGATCCATTTTGCATTCTAGTCCAGAGCTGAAGCAAAAAAAAAAAAAAAAAAGGCTGAAAAACCATCTCAGACATGTCAGAGCTGAGCCCAGAGTAAGCTCAATAAAAATTCTTTAAATTAAATGATGATGCTTTTGTATTGGGAGTGTGTGTGGCAGGGTGACTTCAGACGTGGAATTGAAGCAATCTTAACTCCTTTTCAGTCATCGCTTTTGCAAAGCACAGTCCAAATTGTGTCCTGTCAGGCAAGGATTCTTATCTCACCTCTTGCCAGCTCTACCTGTTGATCCAGGCAAGGCTAGTTCTCCCTTACACACAAAGGAAGGACACTATCATATGTTACAGTGATTGAAACTACCAATTCCAGCAGGCTCAGCTAGGAAAGCTAATATTTGAAAAGCTGTGGTTTGCAAAACTAGGTGAGTTGATGAATTGTAGGAAATTCTAATTTGTTTTACATGTTGTATATACATGGCACTTGGTCATTGCCAAAAGCAGAACCCTAGACATACGTGGCTTATGCAGTACATTTTTTTTCTGTTTCCAACCTGTCCTCCTTCATTGTGTGAAGCTGGAAGGTTCGTGTGTTTACTTTGGAGCTCCTCAAGTTGAGAATGCTGTGTACACATGGATCATTAAAGTTTAATTGAAAATTTATCAGCTTTTAACCTCGTAACTTACCCAGGCTCAGAGTAGAAAGTTACCATAGGATCCTTCAAGACTAATGACAAAAAAAGTCCCAGCATAGTTACTAAACATCCCTCCCATGAATAGAATTGCTGCTGGCCTAGACAGCACCTATGACTTAGAAACTGGAAAATGGTGTTTTGAGACACAGCCCTACCAAGGCACATGCATGACAAGCTAAGCACAGGCTGGGTGTCAGCCTCTAACCCCCTCTCCCAGCTGGGTACCACTGTGTAGTGCACAAACTGTTCAACTAAACGTGTGGTCCTGCCCTTATATATGCCTTTACATAAATGTATAGGTACATTAAATATAAACCAGGGATAAAACATTACCAGAAGTCTTACTCAAACTACAATTTAATGCTTTCACCTATAGAAGTTAATGCTGAAATATAGCCTACATTATAGCAGATTAGATAAAAATACATAATTCTATCTTCTAGAAAAATGACTGTGGCATTAGCAAATCAAATGGAAAAAGTGAATAAACAGGTCTTAGATCACCTGGAAATGTCCTTATACATATCCAGGACAACCTATGTTTATTAAATAATTGCTAGTAGAACAAATACCTGCACCAAAATGAAACTAGGAAATGCTATATTAGCTTGAACAGTTTATCTAATGGTCACATTGATAAATGACTCAAAAATATCAAAAGTATGGAAATGCTTGAGAGTAAACAATGCTTTATCAGTACATTAAACAGCAATGATGTTAATATCTATTTCTTAAAATGATCCTGTTATTAACTGGTACTAAGTAATTTAGCTCTAAAAGAGCCAAAAGAAACAGGACTATTTGTGGAAAGGATTTTGAACTTTTCCTTTTAGAAAGTTAAAAAAAAAAAAAAGGTGCACCTGACTATGAGAGCTTATTAGTTCCTTGACAGTTACCACATGACACATATCTACAGCATGAGACAAAAAATGGGCAAATGATCTCAACTTTCTTGGAAGCCAACTCAAAGCTGAATGCAACTAGCATTTTTGGACTTTACAGTAGGGAATGGAATTCCCCTTATAATGAAAACAAAATCACATAATTTCCCCCGAAGGTCTAGGCACTTTGCAGCAGGCTGTCACCAATCTAGTAAATTTGATATGAAGAAATAATTTATAGTGTAAATACTTAAACACAAATTCTATGATTACATTCACCAGAAAGTGAGGGATATCTGAAATGTGTAAAACACTTTCATTCTGACAAGTACACACGGGAATCACCCTGCAGAGAAGTGCAGTGGGAAGAACCACTGTCCTTCCACATTTGCTGAAGGTCCAGAGAAGGGGAAGCAAACTCCCAGAACCAGGCGGTGCACTTCCCAGGCTTTGCAGGCCACACACATCTCTGTTGCGTACTCTTCTTCTTTCTTTTTGTATGTTTAAATAATACCTCTGAAATGTAAAAGTCATTCTTACCTTGCAGGCCATATAACTGCAGACTGGACTTGAGCTGTGGGCTGTATGCAGTTCACCAACCCCTGACAGAGCCTTGTGATATCCTAAAACATTTTTTTTCTCTTAGGTGCAGAAGAAGTCAGGATGAGTGTTTGTAGGGAACCATATTTACATGCTTAATGATTTCTCTAATAAATGTGCTTCTGCTGCAACCTTAAGAGTTACTTCTGCAACTCAATTTAAAAGTCATGACCTGCAGATCTGATGTTTGCCAGAGAAGTTTCAGAAGCTCTACAACATTTTTGTGAATATTTAAATTAATATTTCAATTACTAAATCTGGTCTGGCGTATCAACATAGTGCTCTTTAAAGCAATGAAGCAGGTCTTGTTTAAAAGGGTTGAAAAGGAACTGTGAGCAAAATGTGACCTGTGGTTGGTGCTATAATACTGACAACTACTGAGCTAAATGGAGTGGGGCAATTCTAGGTCCCCTGCAGGCCTGTAACTGAGTGGGTTTTAGGGTTTTCTAGCAGAAAATATTCTTGTGATCATTTTCTACACTAGCTGCTAATCAAAATAGGCAGCAGTTTGCTAGATTTAATGATCAACGAAGGCCTTGTGAAACAACACTAGATACTTAAAAGGGGCTCAGTCCTGCTTATTTCCAATGGCTGGATGTGCATGAACAACAGAAATTTCGTTGGCATTAACACTGCTTAACTTCTTTAGCAGTCTGTCTTCTCCTAAGCTGCTCTGATTGCCGACTTTGTTTTCCACTTTTCCCTCAATGATGTCAAGTTTTCATTTCTCAAGGTGAAAGTTTATGGTCTAAAGTCTTATCTTTAGTTTTATCTTCAGTATGAATTTCAAGTGAAGCAGTATCTATACCTGGGTCTAGGTTATTTCCAAATAAGTAAAATACTAAAACATTAATTACTAAGCATAAATTTATCTACTTTTTACTTCTCATTTTTACAGAGACTAAAATATTTGGGTCCATTTATAAACA